ACTGACTTCCTTCATGTACAAAACCACACAAAACACAATTCACAAACTCAACCTGAAAACAGAGTGTCCATGCACAAAAGTTGTGTGGAAAACCTTGATCTCTTTATCAGAACTGGAAACAGCGGCCTCAAAAGGCTGGAAAGGCAAAAATTTTGTGGCCCAATCCATGAAATTATGAAAAATTATGAAAAACCATTCAAATTCTCACGCCTTAAACTGAAATTTCACTTGGCCAAATTAATTTGCTCAAAAATATCCAAATTTTGCTTCCACTTCTTCTGCACTCTTTAAAAATCTTGTGATTCCAAAGAGAATTTTTTTAATTCGTGAAGTGCTAATGATGATTTTCTCATTGTCAATATTGACTCTGTCCCCCAGCTGGGAGTGTAACCAAAATAAACGTGGTGAGAACAGATCCCAAACAATTGTGCCATTTTCCTGCAGCCCCTTCCTCCTCAATCCTTCAGGAAAACAGCCCCAGAATTCCACCTGGGAGAATCCCAGCTGTGACCCCAGAACTCAAATATTCCAAAGAATTATTTGCAATTATTTGTGGAATTCCAAACAAACGTTTGCTCCCGTGCCAGAGACTGCTGACAGACAGGGAAAGGATGGGAATTGCTGCATCCCAGAGGTTCCATCCCAAGCAAGGACAAAAGTCCAGCTGTGGTCATGTCCAGAATTCACTGTTTGCACAATTGCTGCTGGTTGAGGCCTCAAGAAAAGCCAAGGATAAATAAAGGAGAAATAAACCTGGATTGCTGCAGCATTCCTACAAACCTGGGCAACTCCAAAGCTTCTCCAAATCAAACCCCAAATTTCTGACTCTGTATCTGAGTCCCTCTCACCCCCAGGCACTGCTGGGTTGTCTCCAGGGCTGAATCTGCTTCCAGGAAATGTTTTTCCAGGCTGATTCATGGATCTGCACCTTGAAAACAAACTCTTCACCCTGCCTGATCCTCTGCTCCTCAATCCATGCTTTGTTTCCAAATAAATCAATTAAAATCTTCCTGCAAATTCAGGGTCTTCAGAAGCAATTCCAAGAAGGAACAATTAGCTTTTAAATTGAGTTAAAACCAGCAAAAATCCTGAAGGTTCCCAATGTTAATTTATTTATCACTGAGTGAAATAAAAGGATATAAAGTGGTTTACATCCCCTAATGAGTTATAATATCAACTGCAGTGAACACAGGGAAGAGACTCAGCAGCCACTGCTCACTGATAAGGGCTGAGGAATTATTATTCCTTCTAAAAGTGTGGATTAGCATAGTGGGATAGTTTATTATAATCAGTAAAAATCCTCCTGATAAAAATGCAATTAGGTTGGCCAAGGGGTTTGTAACTCACAGAAAGAATAAATATATAGGTATATCTAAATTTAAAAAATAGAATTCTGGCTATTTTAGGGTTTATACACCAATACCTTGATTATATTTCTTTAGGTTTGTTTGTTTTCCTAAATGTTTTATGCAAGAGCAACAGCATTTTTGCTAAATCTAGAACAGTCCCCCTACAATTCATTCCACACCACATTCTCTGCTTTACAACCTCATTTCAAATCATCTCAACTCTCAGCTTTGCATTATTTGACCCGAAACCCACTTGTAAACAAGGAAACAATCGCAGGAACACAGCTCTGCAATTTGGGGGATGTGGAGCCAAGGAGGCTCTGCCAAATGGCACATTGCAAAGTGGGTGGACAAGTCTTGTTCTCCAAATTCAATTAAATCCTTCTGCTGATTAAATTCAATGGTAAAACAAACATTTCAATGATCCAAACCTACAAAAATACAGCAAATTCAAACATCCTATCTGGTACAAAACTGCATCTGAGGATTAATTAGCCACATTAATTAGCCAATGTTCAACCCCCAACAAGTTTTGTTCAAGGACACCAGGATAGATTTTGGCTTGTTAATTGAGTGCAATTAATCTACAGTTCCATTTACTACTGTCCCACTCTCATTAAAGACAAAAATATAAATGTTTTTATCTCTGTACTTGTTGTCAATTAGCCACAAATGCATATGGAACAGAACCAGATGTTTGTGGTCACCTGTAGCAAAAAAAAATGTGTCCAGGAAAACACCTGAGCTTCATTTACCTCTGGATTTCCTCCATTTACACCTGAACACCTCCAGCCTGGCCTTGGACACTTCCAGGGATCCAGAGGTGTCACAGCACATGCCACAGCATGTACCATGATATACAGAGTGGCACCACAAAATTGCAGAAGGCATTAAGGTCCACACACAGTGACACCATTCCTCAGCAGAAGGCCTCAGGTCCTGCCCATGCAGAGCAAAATCAGAAAGCTGCAAGAATCTGCACTGCTTGTTCTTCAGCCTGACTTTTATACCCTCATGGCTCATGTACTGCACCTGGGTGCCCTCTGTCCACTGTGTGCCCTCTGTCCCCTGTGTGCCCTCTGCTCCCTGGGTCCCCTCTGTCCCCTCTGCTCTCTGTGTGCCCTCTGCCCTCTGGGTCCCCTCTGTCCCCTCTGCTCTCTGTGTGCCCTCTGCCCTCTGGGTCCCCTCTGCTCCCTGGTGTCCCCTCTGTCCCCTGAGTCCCCTCTGTCCCCTGTGTCCCCTCTGTTCCCTGGTGTCCCCTCTGTTCCCTGGTGTCCCCTCTGTCCCCTGTGTCCCTGCCCAGCACACCGGGCCCCTCCATGGCTCGCTGCTGTCAGTGCTGCTCACCTGCTCCTCACAGCTGCACCCACTGGGGATGAGGCTGGGTCAGTCCCACCCCAATCCCCAAAAACTCTGTGCCTACACAGGGGCAGCCACAGCTGCTCTGGGAATCTGTGCCAGAGCCTCCCCACCCTCCCAGGGAGGAATTCCTTCCCACTATCCCACCTAGCCCTGCTCTCTGGCAGTGCAGCCATTCCCTGTGTCCTGTCCCTCCATCCCGTGTCCAAAGTCCTTCTCCATCTTTCCTGCAGCTCCTTCAGGCACACCCTGAGGTCACCCCAAAGCTTCTCCTGTGCAGGTGAACACTCCCAGCTGTGCCAGCCTTTCCTCCCAGCAGAGCTGCTCCATCCTCTGCTGCTCCTGGAGCCTCCTCTGGGCTCTCTGCAGCAGCTCTGGGTCCCTCCTGTGCTGGGCCAGGTGGGGTCTCACCTGAGGGGCAGAATCAAGGCCAGTCCCCCACCCACCAGCACCCCCAGCTCATGGACTCCCCCAGGCCCAATTCTCAGCCAGGATCCTGAGGTATTACTGGATTTATTCCCATTTTTTATCCAAGAGCTGCTCTCCTGCCAGTGCAGCACCATCTTCCCTGACAGCCTTTAATAACCACAACTTTTTGTTACAGCAGCAAACCCAGCATGAGTCTGGTGGCAGGAGGAGGTGAAAGAGGCTGGAGAATCCCATTCCTGTGGAGAATCTGAAAATCCCTATCCCAAAGTTATGGGAAGCTCTGCCTTCTGTGATGGATGGGGAAGAGAGAAGGCCACAGAGCTGGTACAATGGAACAGCCTTTAACTGGAAACAATCAACAAGTGATAAAGGGATTTATGGATGAAAGACAGGGAATTCAGGGAAACATTCTGTCCCTGTGCAACTGGAGTGTCCCCAGTGCCAAATTCAACACGTCCAGCCCTATTTTCTCTTGAGTCCCACAGGCCACAGTCTGCTCCAGAACAAAAAGCCCTCAGTGCTCTCCTGGCATTACACCTTTGATAATGTGCAACTTCAGACCAACAGCAACAAATATTTGGGGCAGAGATTCCTGCTTTCTTCAAGACTTCTATCTAAATGATGGCCAGACTGGCTGCAGAGCTGTCAGCAAAAATTTGTAACCCAAACCAAAAGATGAAGCACCATCAACAGCCAGGACAGATTTCTGATGGCTGCAGAGATTTAAAAACAAACCAAACCAAGCGGCCCAGGTCTGACAAATTCCTTCAGAAACTCCAAACAGTACAATTTACAGAGGAAAGCATTCACTGAGCATGAATTAATAGAGTCCCAAAGGGGCTGTGGGTTCCTGAAAAGGTTTCTGAAGCCTTTTGTGCACAAACCACAGCAAAAAGTTCAGCTTGTGCACAAGAACTTGAAGATCTCTAAATTAACAACAAAAACATTCAACCCAGATTTCAAAAAGGTTATTGAAGAAACAATTATTGAGAAAAGAGCATTTAGCAAAAGCCCTGGACATTCCATGTTTCTGTTATTACACAACGCAGCCATAATTTATCTTTTTAGTGTATGAAGCCCTCAAAATCAGAGGTAAAAGCAGACACGGCACCTGCTTAGAAGAAAAATTAAATGTCTGCACACCTTTGTAATGGAGAGCAAAAAGTAGTTATTCAGAGCAGTATGAAGTGTGTTCCAGCTATAAAAATATGAAAAAGGAGGAAGAAGTGTTAGAGAAAAGAGTCTTTTGTTAAGCAGATTTCTCTGGCTGGGATCACCTCGATGATAAGATGACAGATACATCAAGATTTAGGTATTTAAAACCACATTAAGGGAGTGAGACACAAAGAGACTGCAGGTCAAGCCTGCTCTTTCAGCAAAGTGCATTAGATTATTCAACAGATTTTCCATCTCCAGCTTCTAACTCCAAAATAAGCAGAGATATTTTTCTAGCAGGACTCTTTAGCAAACAAGCTCATAAAACACAGTCCATTGTACTTCTGGTGAAGAGAAGTAAAATGAGAAGCAATTAGAATGATGATGAACTCATTAAGTCAAAACAGCTATAAATAAAAGCAGAGCAAGTCTCAAAAACCTGTCTGAAAGAGCTGCTGAGGCTTTTCCAGGGGATGGATGAAAGAGTCTGGTTTAAGTCAGGATGAAATGTGGGAAGAGCTGCAAACTGTCCCTGAACCAGCATCTGCTTCTGAGTAACATCACAAAGCTGCTACAAAAATCACCTTCAAGAAGAGAAATTAATTCTACCTCCACCAGCAGCCTCTTGCCAGCTGCACAGAGAGGAGGAATACCCAGCTTTAGGGGCACTTAGGGGATTTTGGGGCAGTGGCAGTGCTGTGTCCTTACCATCGGACTTTATTGCAGGTCTGGGTGGCGCCCAGCGGGGACCCGGCCACCATGGGCACCTGGATGGGGCTGTGCTGCTTGTTCATGACCAGGTCCAGCTTCTCCTCCAGGGATTTGCAGGTGGCCTCCAGGGCCAGCAGCTTGGCCTCGATGCTGTCCAGCCTCAGGCATATGGTCTGGTTGATGGAGTACAGGAACGACTGGGGAGGGAGAAGAACCCGCATTGAGCACTCCGAGTTCATCCCCACTCCTGAGGAAGCTCTGGAGAAACGTGACTGGGAAGCAATCCTAAAGGAACTCACAGCCTGTCTAGTGACAAAATCCACCCCTGATGACATCCAGGAGTGTTTCAGCAGGCTCAGATTCTTCCAGATCTTTATTTGGGAGCCAAAAGCAGCCCAGCCAAAGCCATTTTCACCTAAGCACTTTGTCAGGATGATTTCATCCACTGCAAAATCATTTCTAGTGACTTGCCAAAGCCTTCCAGTCCACATGTGAAAACAAAAGGATTATAAATCTCTGGATGCATCCTCCTGGATAAAGTTAGCGAGTTTTTTCCTGCCTGAACAGATAAATTGCAGTGGAAATTGTATCAACACAAAAAATCTCAGAGACAATTAATGCCACTCACTTCAACTTCCTGCTGAACAGCAAATCAAGAAAAGCAAATAAATAAAATCTGTTTTGCTAAGCAATCTTTTTGAAAAGAAAACATATTCCACTTGGCTTCTCCTGGGAAAACAGGCCATGAGAGGGAAGAGCTGCTCTCTGTGTGCTTTGCAAACAGCAGCTGTGCCATCTTGTGGCCCTGCAGTCACTGAGCACCCCAAACCCTCCTTCACACAGCTCCAGCTCCTGGGATCACCCCAAAAATACAGAATCACACAGGACAGTGTCTGTGGTACTGAAATACTCATCAGGTACTCACACTCCAGGGCAAAAACCAACCCTAAATCACAGCAGTGTCTGCTGAGCTCCTGAGCCAGAATTAAATGGAAATTATCCATCAGGAGAATGCTGTTAGCTTCAAATAATAGCTGCAAACATGCTGAAAGTATCTACAAATGTAACACAAATACATCTTCAAGTGCATCTTTTTGGTCAGCTTCATTGACTTTATCAAAAAATGTCCAAATACTGATGTTTTGTGTCAGTGCAATTAATTCTGGTGATATTTTACATTGCATCTGAAATTCTTGCTACTAATTCTACACTGGAGAATTAGACAATTATCCAGATTTTTAAATTTATGCCTAAAAATGCACAAGTATCCACCAGAATAATTCCAGTATTAGGTATAAACTGTTTATTTTACATTCTTATCATAACTTCCCTTAAACTGAATTGGCATTAAAATGAAACCCAGGAAAGGGCAGTAAATAACCTTAATAGAGGGATCCTGGCAGTTGATTTCTATCCTCTGACGCTTCAGGGCAGGTTCCACATCATCATCTGCCACCTCATGGTTCTCCAACACAACTGCAAAGGGAAAAAAAAAACATTGCCAGAGTTCAAAGCCCAAGAGGACAAAGCTCAAATTAAAAATACAGTAAGTGGAGAAAACAAAAGCATGTCCATTTAATTAAGATATTTAATGTGTTCTTTGACATTTTCTCGGGGTTTCTCTCAAATCTCTGACAGTGGTGATGGGACCAGGTTTGAGTTCCTCTACCAAGCAAAGACTTTTGAAGGACTGGAAGTTCCCAGTTTCTCCTCCAACTCATTTCTGAGTAACTTCTTCATTTTGTATCAGAAAAGCAGTCTTTGGCCTGCATCTCTCATTTCCATTACTGTTCTTACTTGCAATAGTCACAGAGGGCCAACATCTCAATGTATTTTCACTCAGGAAGTCAATTTATGAACAAGTGATATACAAATATTTGCTTTCAGAAGTGTTTTTCAATTTGACTGTCCAAAGAATTTTAATAATGGATGAGAAAAGTGTCTTACACATAAACAATCCCTAATGGATGGGGAGCAGTTCCCACTGGAGAAAAAGACTAAACCATGGAGAAAAACAAGACAGCAGGAATATTTACTTGTTTTTGGGGTTAGTCTACCCCTGCACAAAAAAACAAACAGGCAATAAAGCCTTTAAGAGAAAAGTGAACTAAATAAAATAATCTGATCTAAAGGGTTTGGAGAAATACAAGTGAAGCTCTGGAAAACGTGGGATATGGGCTTCAAAAGCACCTTTTGGAATAAAAACCTGGTTTGTATTTTAAAGAAAAGCTCAGCAGTGATTTCCAGTTAATGAGCACTGCTGTAAATCTCTTCCTACCTGGATTATCAGGAGTCAGGTCCTCAACAGCAATCTGAACCACATCTGCCAAATCCTGCTCTGACATCATTCAGAACCAGCAGCAAAACCCCTCAGGTACCACTGCAGCTCCCCAGGGCAGAGCTGGCCCGGCATGCACTCCTGCAACACAGCAGCAAGCACAGGGTTAATATTTGTGAAATGTCTCAGACAGCATCAAGGCCTTCTGCTTTTCATTCTCCTTTTATTGAGAGATTAATTTCTCAGAGAAATGACCAAGCTACAAAGGGATTGTCCAGTGGCATCCACAGCTCAGCTCCTACAGCCCCTCCAGAGGAACCTCCCTGCCCCAGGGCTGAGGCAGGAGCTGAACCTTTCCTTGCACATTCCCAGGGAGAAGAACTTCCAGGTTCACACTCACAAAGCTCACAAAGCTCCAGTCCACCAGAACTGCAAATTCTGAACCTTGTCAGGCCTCTAAAATCTTCCTAAACTCAGCGAGAACCAGGAGTTTCCTCACATCTTGTAACAACTCAAGCAAAACTTGACTTTTTTCTTTAGGATGAACTTGCCCAGTTTTTCTACAGTTCAGCTCCGATGAAACCTTTTCCAGGATGTGGTCCTGATTTTAAAGTCAAAATATTTCTCAGCCTTGCTCTCCTGGAATTCTCAGTCCAGGTTCTTTATTAGTGTTTTAAGATAAATCTTCAACCTGTAAAATTGAAATAAAATCACTACAATCTCTCCTAGCTGTGCTTTCTCCCAGTTTACAAAGGGCTGGACAAGGAATACCAAGAGATCAGTGGATATTTTTTTCCCCTTTTTTAACCTGAAGTAAAAAACATTGGAGAGATAAATGGAGATTTACTGATGGAAATGATAATTCATCCATTAACACAAATATGGAATCCAACTATGCACAATGATTTTCCTCTTCCACTTGAGCCCAAGAAATCCATCAGGCCAGACTTGGAGAGGATAAATTTTGAGGAGAGCAATACAACCTAGAGAAGGATTCTGAGGAGTCTTCCACATCTCCCAACTGTTTACCCAAAATACCAGCACTGCCAGCACTGAGTCACTCGAAATTCTGCTCATGGTGAAAGACTTTTGGGCCAGCACAGAGTGTGGCAGCAAGCCCAAAAATCCTGGCAGTCCTTCTGTGCTTGTGGATGCCATTTTGGCAAGTGAAATTTGCCATTTCTGAGAAGTCCTGGTGCCCGGCCAGGCTGAGCAGAACAAAGCAGCTGTGCTGTTCCATCCTGTCACACATGGCCTGCACCAGAGACGGGACACATCCACCACCCCAAGCACTAAAAAAAACCAAATTAGAACAGTTAAAAACATATTATTTACAGGATTCACTGTAATTTGCTTCATTATTACAGGGCTCATTGATGCTGCACATGTTGCATTGAAACCAATCCTAGCAATAAATTTCTTCTTTTAATTGTATTGCAATTAAATTGTAATAAATGTATAAAATCCACTTTAATACTTCACATATTTAGCACAAAAAATCCTGAGTTTGAAGGGACCCACATGGATCATCCAACTCCTGGCCCTGCACAGACAACTCAAGACAAAACCATGTGCCTTCAAAATTAAATTTAAAAATCACTAAATTCAACCTTTCTTCAAATGATTTCCTGTTTCCAGCACCCACTGTCCACCTCTCACGGGACATAGGCTGAAAGTGAAGAGGGAGAAAGTTCAACTTCACCTCAGGAAAACCCAAATATTCTGTCCCAGAGCCTTGAAAGGGCACAACCACCACCACCAACACACACAGAGAAACGTGTGCTCATAACATCAATATTTATTTCCATTTAAACAAATTTTATCCCAATCTCACTAAATCAGACAGCTTGGAAGAAATCAGCCACAATTCTGCCTTTTCAAAGCCAGGATAAAATTCCCTTCTGCTGCCATCCTGGATCAAAATATAAAGGGGAAAACAAATAAATTTGTTATGAATCCTGGGGATTAGGAAAGCAATGCCCAAGGTTAGGATTGGGAATCCTGATGAGGAAAGCAATGCCCAGGAAAGCTGCAGCCACTGCAGTTCTCACACCTTGAATAAAGAGTCCCTCTCCAAAACTCACCATTTCCATTTCTAACAGTAAATTTCACTGGTGGGCTGACCTTGCTTTCAGAACCAAGGGGAAAAGCCCGATAAAATTCAACAGGATGAGAGTTAGAGGAGTTTATCAGCTTCAAAAAGCTTCAGTCAACAAATTCAGAGTAACTTTGCCATTATGGTTTCCATGTACTTGGTGAAGTATTTACCAGTGTTTCCTCACGTAAAACACTCCTTTTCTTGAAATTTCCTCTATATTCCCCCTTTTTTCCACCTCCTGTCTGAAACTCTAGTCCCCATTAAATCTAAATTAAGTGTATGTACATTGGCATCGAGCCACCACTGCTGAACTATTCCCAGGAACAAATTTTAAGTTATAAAAAAGAAATATTAGCAGAAAGCCAGGAAGCTGGGGATAAACCACAGCAGGGCCAAGGAACTTCTCCTCCCCAAGCAGCACGTGGAAGTTGGATCAACACAGCACTATTTTATGGTCACTTTGCCCCTGTCTGGGGCAGGGGATGTGGAAGAAGGTTCTACCAGGCAGTGGAAAATATTCCATTAGAGGAGTTCCTGGCCAGCCAGGCTCACACCAATTCCAGCCCAGTGCTTTTGGTGGGTCTACACTGCACTTTTGGATTCTCCCAGAGAATTCCAGGGGCTCCTCCAACTCTGAAAGTGAGGAACAGGTTATGGTGTGTCCTGGAGGGATTTCTTCCCCTGTCCACTCCCAATTCCCTCCAAAAGGGCCAGGTTGGATCCATGAGGTTCCACAGGGCCCTTGGGCCACAACATCCCCTGGAGCTCCAGGCTGGAAAGCTGGGAAAGGACTGGGGATGCTGGGGACTGGAGCCCAGGTGTGCCAGGTGGGTTGGCACCAGCTCTGGCATGGCCACAGCCCCAGGGCAGGGACTGTCCCCTGTGCTGGGCACCGCTGAGGCCACGCCTGGGGTTCTGGTCAGGTTTGGAGAATCCTCCAAAACAGACCTGGAGGGGCTGGAGCGTGTCCAGGGAAGGGGACGGAGCTGGGAAGGGGATGGAGAATCCTGAGGGAGCTGGGAAGGGGATGGAGAATTCCTGAGGGAGATGGAAAGTGGCTGGAGAATTCCTGAGGGAGCTGGGAAGGGGCTGGAAGATCCTGAGGGATTTGGGAAGGGTCTGGAAGATCCTGAGGGAGCTGGGAAGGGGCTGGAGAATTCCTGAGGGAGCTGGGAAGGGGTTGGAAAATCCTGAGGGATTTGGGAAGGGTCTGGAAGATCCTGAGGGAGCTGGGAAGGGGCTGGAGAATTCCTGAGGGAGCTGGGAAAGGGCTGGAGAATTCCTGAGGGAGCTGGGAAGGGGCTGGAGAATTCCTGAGGGAGCTGGGAAGGGGCTGGAGAATTCCTGAGGGAGATGGAAAGTGGCTGGAGAGTTCCTGAGGGATTTGGGAAAGGTCTGGAGGATCCTGAGGGATTTGGGAAGGGACTGGAGGATCCTGAGGGATTTGGGAAGGCACTGGAGGATCCTGAGGGAGCTGGGAAGGGGCTGGAGGATGCTGAGGGAGCTGAGGGGGCTCAGCCTGGGGCAAAGGAGGCTCAGGGACCCTCCTGGCCCTGCACAGCTCCTGCCAGGAGGGGACAGCCGGGGGGTCGGGCTCTGCTCCAGGAACAGGGACAGGAGGAGAGGGAACGGCCTCAGGGCAGGCTCAGGGTGGGCAGCAGCAGGAATTTCCCCATGGAAAGGGGGCTCAGGGATTGGAAGTGCCCAGGGAGGGTTGGAGTGCCCATCCTTGGAGGTGTCCCAGGAATCCCTGAGGTGGCACTCAGAGCTCGGGGATGGGGACAAGGTGGGCACTGGGCACAGCTGGGTGATCCCAGAGCTTCTTCCCACCCTCAATAATCAATTTGTGGTTTCAATAATCAAATCCCAGGTTCCCCAAACGTTTCTAACCCCTCAGAGCTCTTGCAGCCCATTACCAGAGCAGCTCTTCCACTGCCCCCCCTTTCCCCACCCCAGGCCAGACCCCACTTTGTTCCTCTGATCCAATAATCCCAGCAGATACCTGCTCCTGCTGGATAAATGAAACTATAACTACAAATTATCTCATTTTCCCTCAAAAACAGGAGCAAAAAGCCTTGAGCATCCCTGTAAGCATTTGCCTGGAAGCGGCTCCAGGACTGGAATACTCAAAAAACCTCATCACAGACAACTAAAGATACAAATTTAAAGCTGATTAGATAAATTACATTAAATATCTCTGCCAATACTCATGCTCAGAATTGATACACTTAACACAGAATTCAATCAGCCTTTGTTTAATTAAGTAAATTAATATTTGTAAACAACTAAATTAAATTCACCTGAATTCCAGATTAGCTTTTCCACACACAAGTTTAATGTAATTTAATTAATCTATTTTAAAACATTAATTCCAAATAATTCTTCTGAGCAGTCCCATGTAAACAAAGCTATTTACTGAAATATCTGATGGTTTTCCTGAGTCACGGGGCAGCATTCCAAAGTGGATAATTAAACCCATCCAATGCCTTGTTAACACAGGAGAACACACACACAAACCAGAAACCTTCTCTCACATTAATCAGCGAGGGTAAACAGCATCTTTTAAAAAATCCAAACACATTCCAAAGCCCTGCTTGGAGTGTGGAATTGCACTGCTCTGGCTGGAGCAGCTGAGCTCTCTTGGGACATTTCCCAGGGCTACTGATAAATGAAAAAACTTCTCTCAGATTCCAGCTTGCACTGTGGCAAATATTCCTGCTGGTTGTGTGAGAAAAGCTGGAAAATGCCATTTCCCTCTGCCCAGCCCAAGAGCCTCAAAAGTTCTTCCTCTTCTTCATCCCACTCTTCCTTCTAATCAATTAAAGGCAATGCTCAAATATGGAATCTCTGTTCCAAAAATCTTTATCCAACCACATTTGGAATCATGGAATTGCTGGGGTGGGAAGGGACCTTGAGGATCCTCCCATTCCACCTGTGATAATTCACTTGTGGGGAATTTTGGAAGGAATTTGAGATGGGACCTCTGAGCTGCTTTTGCTGATGTGGTTTATTTTATCTTCTACACAGGCAGGAAGGTTGAGTT